ACAGATATCGGCACCTGTCCTCGGTTTTTGCTATCTGTCACACACTCACACACACACACACACACACACACACACACACACACACACACACACACACACACACGCACACTCACACACAGAGTGTACTGACAGGTTCTGTGTCCCCGTGGCAGAAGAGAGCGATGTGAATGTGATGGCAGAGATGGCGCCGGTTGGCTGGCTGGTCCAAAGGACCCCAGGGAAGTATGACTGATAGAAGCTGCCTCCAAGCCCTCTGGATAGTGTGTGTGTGTGTGTGTGTGTGTGTGTGTGTGTGTGTGTGTGTGTGTGTGTGTGTGTGTGTGTGTGTGTGTGTGTGTGTGTGTGTGTGTGTGTGTGTGTGTATGTGTGTGTGTCTGAGAGCGGGTCCATGTAGTATGGCAGATGGTATGATGGAGTTTAAACCAGTTGGGTTACCATCAGCCTTTCTGGCTAAAAAAGTGACTAAAATAACTCTCAGCCTCAAGGTTATACTGTTTGAGGGTGGGAGTGCCCCAACGCCCCGTATTGTTAAAAAGATAGAGCCAAATATACAGTTTTTGATGCATGAGTAATTTTATTTGACTGATTGTCTCATTTGCTTTCTAATGGCTGACATGTTAATGTTAGTTGGGCCCTGATCGAAAAGCAATTGATGAAACGTAAATAAGTATATGTAAGGAATGTCCTATAGCACCCATCTGAGGCACTTAACTGCTTATTCCCAAGAGTCATGGTTAGCATTCAGTTAGTTATTGTTCTATTTTACTGTAATTTGGAGGGACATATTGTACTTTTTACATTTATATTCCGACAGCTGCACTTGCTGCAGTAGATATTTATAGTAACAATTTACATATAAAACATTCATTGTTATATATTTCACTACCCAAGGTCATGTAAAATATTCATCATTAGCTCTGCATTGACCAACTCCAACAATAATATGCTTCTTACACATTAATGCATTAGCTATTGTAAACGTATAAACATACTTATAATATAATAAAAAATGGGTAAAACCCTCGATCACTTGAGGACATGTTTCTGACAATGGTTGTACGTTGTTGATCTTCTATCTGTTTATTAACTGGTGTGTGTGTGTGTGTGTGTGTGTGTGTGTGTGTGTGTGTGTGTGTGTGTGTGTGTGTGTGTGTGTGTGTGTGTGTGTGTGTGTGTGTGTGTGTGTGTGTGTGTGTGTGTGTGTGTGTGTGTTCAGCTTTTTGAAGACTGCACTAGAGTTAATTGAGTTCATCTGAAAAACAAACACAGCTGTCCAATGTTCTGCAGTGCTGGAAGATGACTGGAAGAGTGTAAACCCAGAATCTGTTGCCAGCACTTCAGACCAGGAAGCTCATCAAGTATTGAAGAGGAAAACCGACTTAGATCGAGAGACTGTTGAAGGAAGTCAAGACAAACAAGAAGAAATGAGAGTAAAGAAGTAGACACAAAGAAATAGAAGAGGAGGATATATCATGTGTGTTATGTTGCAGGGGAGTGAAGGAGAACATGGTGACCTTAAAGAGCGAAGAGTTGAAAATATACTGCAGCAATGAGGGACATGGATTATGACTTTGTGTTTTATGGGCTCTTTAGATGTGTGGATTTGTCTCCTCTCTTTGTCTGTCACTCTGTCCCCTGAAGAGTTAGGAGGGCATTTATAGGAGTAGGAGAGCTATTTAAATCATGTGTGTGAGTGTTAGTATGTGTGCCTGGATCAGTCGGAGGTACAGGGGACAGATTTACACCCCATGTACAGCAGAGATGAAGGCCATGTCCCAGGCAGGCCGTTTCTCTCTTTTCTGTGTTTCTGTGGGGGCCTGGCTATCTGGCGTTGGTCCAGTTTAATTCCTTCAGAGCCCAGAGGCTTGTTCTTTCACCTATATCCTTTCTTTTTGCCGCCAACGAAGAACCTGCTTTCATATTCTCTTCCTCTTTAACTCCCTAGCCGACTCTCAACCGAATCACTTTCTGTCTCTCTGCAAAGTGCTGCATCTTTATCTTTCCCCTGCCCTTTGTCCCCTACAGCTGAGATATCTAACCTCTTAGAGCGTCCATCACTCAGCCCCTCCCTCCCCTGTCTCCCATGCTGTCTCTCCCTCAAACAGTAGCACAGCTTTTTTATTATTTTCTTTTTTGAATGAGAATGTAATCTTCCTCCTCGCACTAGATGAGTCTCACAAGTGGATCAGCTGGTGAGAAACGCTGCCACCTTGTATGGCTTGACTCAAAATAGGTTGCATGACATTAATGTAGGTGAGATATCTGCTTTCCATTTGTACAGAATATGACTTGAAGATGATCTTCAATGATCCTGAGCCAATATCTTTATTCTATTTGATACAGTGTAAAACGGCTGACCACATTTATGGATCTGCAGTCCAAAATTGAAAAACTTTCTACAAAGACAACATAAAAAAACAAAACCACCACAAAGAAAATCACTTCGCCAAGTCTTTGAAGTCGAGGTTAAGTACTTTTTTATAGTCTTATTATAGAAAATGTGATGTGCAGCCAGGTTTTAAAACAGTATATTAAAGGTCCCATTTCATGGCCATTTCCACTGATCATAATTCCATTGTTGAGGTCTACTAGAATATATTTATATTGTGCAATTTTCCAAAATCACTTTGGTTTCTCATACAGCATCTCTGTAAACTATGTGTATTCACTGAATGTCACTCTCTGCCTTTAACGGCTCGTTGTAGCTCCAATAGCTCCAGCCCCCACCCTCCCTGTGAGCACAGTGTGCTCTGATTGGTCGGGACGTTGTGAATCGCGCTGAGCTCCGTGGAGGTGTGGTTTCCTTGTTTAGCGAAACACAGCCAAACTCACCCTGAGCACACACAAATTCACAGCCGAAGTAAAAACAATAAGTGTGGCTTGATATTGAGTAAGAAAAAGGTTGATAAACGCTGTGAGAATGGGTCTGCAGAGAGAATTTCGCCGTGATCCCAACTGTCTGTTATCAGCCTGCGGCCAGGGAGGAGAGATCAGCAGAGCTGCATGCACTGAGTGTGTGTGTGTGTGTGTGAGGAAGTCCGTGGATTGGTCAATTTGGACCAATCAGCGGGGGCTTAACGTAACGGCTCCACGGATTGGTCCATTTGGTTCCGGGTAACGCATGACATCATGAGTTACCCGGAAGAATCAATGGACAGTGACGTATCGAGTTTTACTCGCTACAGGGTGTACTTTGAGGGTTTTNAAAATGCTTGTTTCTGAGGTGGACTTATAATTGGCTTAGCCAGGCCCCCGGCAGGGCCATCAGTAAATCTAAGGGGAAATTGAAATGATCGGCTCATTCATCTCTCTCACACTACACACACACACACACACACTGATCCATTCTCGTTTCCACAAGGCTAATCTCTCCATCATTGCCACTTGCTGATTTCTCTGTTTGTTGTCTCTTTCACTTCTCAAGTCTTTATTCTGTATCTCACTGACTTGTCTTCTTTAGTGTCTTTTATGTTTATTCTTGTGTCTTCATTTCTTTCGCTGTTGCTCTTTCTTTACTTCCTCTCTGCCTTGCCTGTCTCCGATTTCCCAAATGGCACGTTTTTAGAGTCTGTTTATCTGACTGGATGGGAGAGAGAGACAGCTCTAGCATTAGTGTGGATGTAAGAAACGCTGAGGTGACATTGACTCTGAAAGCAAGAAAAGTTCATGGAGGTTTGGGTTGAACAGAATCCACATCCGAGCCAGAGTAACACTCTCAGATCCTCTTTTCATCTGAGAGGAATTGAGAGGGAAAGACAAACGAAAAGATGAGAAACAGCTCCTTGATGCAATCATTGATCACTAGTCAAAGTCCTTGATTCTGTCTAATGAGCTGCTTGTTCCTTCTGGGAGGGAAAGTCATGAGAAAAACAACACTGCTTGCCACAGTGAAATTGGGCAAACAGCCAAACAGGATAAACCTTTTTATTTCAACATGATGCGGTTTTGTGTTTATCTGAAAAAAATTGAGTAAGACAGTGATTTAGTTACATATACTGTATATATGCTCATTTACACGTCAAAGGGTGCTTTTTCTTACACCCTTACATAGCCATAGCACATATATCACTATTTAATGAATATTAAACACCTAAGATTGAAAAACCAAGTAACCACTGCAGTGCAGCCATATTTCTTAGTGTGCTAGTGCTTCTCATAGATGTAATATATGTCTTAGTGTTAGTCCATGTATAGGGCAATCTGCAACCTAATATATGCAATATATTATCCCATGCACACTTCATTATGCAGTAATGGAGCAATCAAGCAAAAAGGTCAAATCAAAGTTGGGAATTTTGCAGGTTCACACACAAATACACCGAGATGTAGCTGGTTGCTGCTTAGTGCTCTGATGTGGCCCACTTGGCTCATCAGGAAGAACTGCTCCACTTAAACTTTGTTGCTCCCTTGTAATTGAATTAGTCTGCTCAATTATGTAGAGGCAGGCCTGTCCTCATTACACAGCACTATTTAAGCTCGAGTATGGAGCCGAGGGGAGGAGAGCCGCAGGCGAGGAGCAGAGAATGGAGCTAAAAGTCATTTAAGTGAGAGTGTAAAGTTTCATTGCTCTAATCTCCATCGTGTCGGTCACATCTGTGTAACAATTGCGCTACAGTTCATGAATGATGTCCCGCCGTATCTTCTCTGCCCTGCCTCTCTCTCTATGTTTGACTCTCTCTGCTTCTGGGCCAAATGCCTTGAAAAATGCTGAACTAGCAATTTGTCCGAGTTTTTCCAGAGCTCACTTCACTAACTTCACAAGAAATACCTCTAGCTGAGCCAAAATGCTGCCAAACCACTTGCTGCAGGCGGGCCTGAGCTCAGCACAAAGATTCCCCATCTTCCAAACATTAAATCTGCACACAAACAAACACTGGATGCATCTACTCTTGCTCGCTGTGTATGGACCAAAGCACCATATCTGATATGCCAACTGCTCTCTTATTTTCTGTTTTTCCTCCCCTCTTTTTGGTCTCTCCTCCTGTCTCTATCTCACATAGGAGCAGATGAAGAGCCTCCAGAGTGGCTTCAAGCATGTTCATGATGGGGGTTTCCAGCTGCTGAGGTGGGCTTACACAGACTCACACACAATAAACACAAGACAGAGATAACATGAGCAGCCTGCTATTGTGCAGCTCTAAAAGCCCATTTCCCCTCCAGATGTGACCTAGCCATCGCTGTTTAATTACTGATAACCCAGACTGAGATTGCTCTTGTGTGTGTCCTCTGAATGTCCCCTGCACCCCTTCCCCTCCTCAGTGATCCTCTGACAATGAAACTGGACAACAACATCAATATCAACATGCCGCCCATTGAGACCAAGGTGTTGATGTGAGTATATCTTGTATCTAAAAATAAAAGAAGGGATATTGTGGACTTTATAGTACTTTTGATTCCATACAGTACTGTATGTCTAGATACGTGATTTGAATATTTCTGACCTTTCCTAAGTTCGTGATTCCCAACCTGAGATAGCAAGAGGGTCAGGCTGTATTAACAAGATAAACTAAAATACAAGTGTTTTCTTCAAATTCCACCTTTCACAAAAACTGTTCAATTTTGCTTTTTAAAAAGTGATTAAAAAACATTATGTGTAAATGTGTACAGGTCATGATAACATTTTACTTTTCACAACTGGTCTCAAATAGATAGGTAGGTCATTTTAACTTCAACTGCTTGTCGAGCTGGCCTTCTATGGTAAAAGTACATTTTCAACAATCATCATATACAGTACAGTATTTGTATTCATCAAACTCAAATAAAACACAAACTCAAATACATGTGTTTCTTTTATGGAAAATGAGCAATATATACAACCAGATATATTCACAAAAAATAATAAATTATAATTGTAAAAAAAAAAAAATGGAAAAAAGTAATGTTAAGTGTTTTTCATGATAAAAAAAATACTTGCTCATCTTACTGTATATGCTGAATTGGCCTAACAGGAAACCACTGGCCTAACAGCAAATGTCTATATCCTGTGTTGGCCTAACTTGCTCATCTGTGTGCAACTTTGGGCTGAATGCCATGCATTAAAGGTGCTATATAAAATATTGCTAGCTTACCATAAAAGGCAAATTCAACCGATTGGTTGAGTATATCTTAAACAAAATAATTACACCCTTGTTAAAACTTTTTTTGTGCATAAAGTTATCTAATTATGTTCAGTCAGTGCCCTGCCACTAAAATATGTCAAAAGGGATATGGTTACCTTACAAAAGTTGACCAAAAAGAGTGATTTCTTCAGCAGTGATTTTTAGCATTGTCAACTTTCTCAGTTGAAGCTAGCTGAAGGGCTTTCTGTTCGAACCACAGTGACATCTAGAGGTTGTTTTGTGCATAACATGTCAACCAAAGGGTAGAGCTGGCTGAATCAGATGGAGTTCAACTTTTTTTTTTTTTTTCCAACAAGATATCAAGACACAAAATGTGCTCTACCAAATGGTGGTGCTGGCAGTTAAAGGGTTAACAAAGGTTGCAAACTACTGCTCCAGCTGTTATTTCAGTGGAAATTGGTTGTAATTTGGATAAGTTAGGAAGTATGCTGTGAAATATGACAAGATATTTCCCCTTGTGGATTGACTGATGACAATAAAACTAACATACATTCTAGTATATCAGAAGTAAAATAAATCAAGTGGTCTAACATGTTCTATTCCTCACTACTTGTAGTATCCAGCGGGCTTGGCGTGACTTCCTCCAGAGACAGGAAGTGGAGAAGAGGAGCCCCTCACCACCTTCCCTCTCCTCCTCTGACAAGATGAGCATGTCAATCAGCATGACAACCCTGTCAGATGGCAGCACCCCGGTAAGTCATACATATGCCAAACATATTTTACATTTACAAACTCCAGGCTTTTAGACAGCGCTGTGACTGACCGTGTTCAGGAGGCAGTGTGTTTGAGGATGTGTGTCGCATTGTCTCAGTTGAATAGAAACCATTGCTTATGGGAAAATGTTCTCATACTCAGTATATATTATATATATATAGTTTAGTTTTTTTACTCAATAAGGCTTTGTTCGCACACACTTGTGATATAAGTTTGCGACATATACACAATGTTGAAGTTGGGGCCTTAAGAGTATTGTGCAGTCTTGTGGAGAATATATTACAGTGCGTATGTTCCCATTCATCTCCAGAAGGGGGCAATATCCCTCAGCTAAGTCCCTCAGTATGCAGACTCACAAGCATCCTCTTCTCTGGGAGCAGAGTAACTATTCAAGGATTTGGTTTGACATACACAAACGTGTTCTCAGAGCAAAAGCACATTGAGAATTGAAATCAGTGGGACAGCTATTCTTATTCAACACTTCTTCCCTTCATTTAACCAGCCCAGAGTAAATCCCCAGGATTTTCTCGACTGCGTATGTTCCGGTCATTATAATTCTATACTGACGTGGTCTGCCGCCTTCTGGCAGAATAGCAAGTGTATGCAGACTTCTTTACTAATCTCCGAGCCTGAAGTCAACAGGCAGGTTAAATCTCAGAGACAGCTTGGAGAGTTCTGTGAATGAGCACACTTAGGTGGTGCTTGTCCACACGTCTGCTACAGAGAAAAGCTTTTATACAGAAACAGGCTGTTTGATTGGGATTCCTGTGAATAAAAGGGGTGAAGAGAATTCAAAGTGGTGAGTAACTGGAGTCAAATGTGCACTCTCTGCCGAGAAAACAGCTTCCAGCTACAGGTGAAGTGAGCAGCGGACTGGTCAGTACTCAGGTCAAGAAGGTTGTGGATAAAGTCAAGAGGCTGTCTATATTCTATACACACATACCACACACACATAGTAAACATTGGAGGCCAGGCAATACTTCGCTCACTGACTTAGGCCTCTAAACAAAGGCAGATGATCATCACCAGGAACAGCAGAGAGAGCGAGAGTGTGTGTGTCAAAGGTCAGTGATTAATGTGTAAATACAAAGGGAACACTGTTCCGGTGGGTCTTTCCAAGCAACGATATTTATTCATTTCTATTTATCAATCATAAGTTTTCACAAGAATTGTTCAAAATCAGTGTGTCTGTGTGTGTCTCTCTCTCTCTTTCTCAAACCAGGCTAAGGTCAAGGGAGAGAGAGTTTAGCAGCAGAGGGTGAAACCAGATGAAAAGCAGATTTTACTCTCTGGTTGAATGTGTTGACACTGTAGACCTTCTCTCCTCTCGCATTTGAGTTCATGATTATATTTAATATCTTACACGTCTCATCACAACAGTCCTCTGCTGTATAATCTGTAACCTGTCTCGCTTAATACAGTTTCCCTCTTCGGCCTTCTTCCTCTCTTTATTTGACTGTCCTTCCCTGTAAAGAAATGCATTTTGTCGATGCAACAACTCCACCCTGTTTGAATTTCTAACAGCGGCTTTCTGTCGACCCAGAGATTCATTTTCAATCCACAACCATGCGAGGCTATACATTCATGGGTGCACGCACACTTCAACACACACACACACACACACACACACACACAGACACGGAGGAAAGGAGACACAGTGATGTGGCAGCCATCTCTAAAGTGATTGAATTTGTAACCTTTGTGCCTATAACATCAGTCTTTGACAAAACTGTGCTGCAGTGTGTATATTTGTGTTTGTTTCCATAAAAAAGCTATTTTTCAGCCTCATGTGTTTTCAAGAGGGATGACGGATGTTTGTAGCAGCGTGCGACTGAAATATAGTTTGACTCTTTACTGTGTAAATGATATGTCACGTTGTAACTCGGCTCACTCATTGCCATGACAATCCTGCAAAAATAGAGCAGCTCTGGATATCTCTCTTTATGATCGATCCCTCTGCTCCATGGCAACACCACAGAGGGAGGCAGAAATTATAGGTTTCATTAAAGAGGAACCTAACAAAACTCTGGCTTTTATGTCCAGATATGAATCAGCTGTGTACATTTTATTGTTTCATAATACTATACCACATCAACACTCAGCCTCCTGACCACCTAAAAGTACACAAACATGCACACACACAAGGGAGAGTGAGCACACACACACAAACACAGGCGCATGGACACACAGACCACGACCGCTTTAATTTCAGACTGTCTAGATGATAGATGTATTTTTATAACCAGACATCAATCAATAGTGTTTGGGGACTGGCCCGGTGTTTTTCTAGCAGGATTGCCACTAAATTACTTGAGAACTGAGGATGAAAACAAATATTGGGAGAATTTCTGAACCTATACAAGACGTTTAGATTTTGAATTGTTATCTTTAGGTGTTTTAATCCTACATTTAGATCAAAGTCTTGTCTTTTACCAGATCTGTTGGAAGAGAGCTGTCCATTGCCTTGGTGCTGAAGTGCAGTATAATGTAGTTGCCAGGTTTTGACACTAGATGGAAATCCTGCATCACACTGGCTTTTCTTTCTTTCTTTTTTTTTTTGCCATTTTACAATGTTGTCCTATTCTAAGGGAGTGACTCGGTTGCAGCAGCAGACACACCTGTTGAGAATTTTGAAAAAGCAATAACCTCAAGATAGATATGCATTTGTTTGAATGGTATCACGACACGAATATTCTTTTGCCAGTTTTTAAAATGTTGTTTAGTAGTTCACTCCTCTTAGAGTTTTACTTTACTTGATAATCCTACAACTTAATGCATAACACTGGTTTAAAAGCTCTTGTTAAATGATGGTAAATGGCTATGGTGATGGTACAGAATATGTATTTAGTTTGTTGACTTGTGTTTTCCTGCATATATATGGATGAGTATGTGAATATGTGCGTCTCGGCTGGTGAAGGGCACACGTGGCAGGTTGGTCCATCTGGCCCTCTAAGGTGCGGTGAGACTGGTCCGGGCAGAGCAGTGCTGCCTTCTCCGTCTGCCAGCTGTCATGTTTCTCCTTCTCTGCCCTCTCCATCACTGCTCTCTTAATCTTCTCCTCCTCCTCCTCCTTTTTCTGGTCACGTCATAGTTTATTTTTGCCTCCGCCTTTCATATTTAATGTCTTTCTATTTTTCTCGTTTCCGGGCATCTTTTCTAGTTCTTGCTCTCACACTCTGTTATAGTCTCTGTCTCTTTACCACTTGCAAACCACCTACTGTTCTCCTGGCTTTATCAGGTCATGCAGCTGCAGTAACACAGTGGAAGCTCGGCAGGGGACATTAAAGGAGGTTATGCAAAGTTTGGGGGATTTCCGTTCCACTGTTACCTGCGATGTACACAAAGAGTAGATGTACAGTAACTCCACGGAATAAAGCAGAGATAAGAGGCATTAAGCTTACGTTACAGAGCAGCCAGCTTAGATTGCACCCTATATCAAAGCATTTAACCTCTCACATTCATTGTTAACCATGTAATCCAGTCCAGGGTCCAGATCGTTGCCATGTCACTCAGCTGTCAAGATAATAATCCTGGCAGTTTTTGTATTAACTGTACAAGTCAACCTTTCTGTGCTATGAAAAAAGCAGGAAAAGGTCACATATTGTATCACCAGTCGAATGGCTATTACACTAAGCCCTCAGCATTGTTACGATCTGAAGGACTCCCCTGCAGACTGACCGCCTTCATGCTATTGTATTTACTGTATACCTCATGGTGTACCATTCAATGATAGCTAGACAAAGGCAGCTCACCAGTCTTCAATTAGTCAACCACAGGAGAAGAAAGTGCTTTACAAAGCCACTCTTTGTTCAATATTATTGAGCTTATTGAGGTCAAATCACAATGTTTATAAAAAACACATTTTAGAAAGCATGATTAGTGTTGACAAAATGTCAGGTCATATCAAGTCAATTCTATTTTTGACTCCAAAATTACAAACCTAGTAACACAAATAATTTACTTCATGAACAGCAAATTATCCTTTCAACCTTTGAAAAGTAACAAGAAGACACATCTAATATTCTTAAGCATACAGATCATTATCATTATAGCAGTTTTATCAATTTATAAGACATGACATATTTTTTAAATAAATATAATGCAGCAATCACATAGTCAGGAAACACTATCCAGTCTTTTGATGCTGCAGATAATGGAGAGCAAATATTCTGTAAAAATGTTCAGTCAGTCACAAGGACAGGCCTTGCCGTACTTAACATTGTTTCAAGAACCACACAATTATACTTCATCATCACCATGTCAGATATTAAGCCAGTTTTCTACTGCCTTCCAAGAAATGAAATTTCCCAATAGTGTTTCCCACTTCTCTTCCACCGTGGACCAGGACAGCCCTGTAATGATTTATGGTAATTATGCAAATGCAACATAAGGCTTTGGAAATTAATGCTTACCCCCACCAGTCTCCTCATCACTGGAGGCTGGGTGTTACTGCAGCCAATGCTTTTACAATAATGTTACTGAAATACCAGGGACAATGCAAAAAGCCTAGGTTAGGAGATTAAGGATTCCCTAGAATTAGTTTAGGTTTATTGGAGCCTCATGGAGGCGATTCACATTTGTAATAATTTGTCTTCATTCATCGGGGCTAAATTGATTGAGGAAGCAGCCTACACGTGGAGTTATACTCCTATCCTGGAGAGTGAGGGCTGCAGATTTAATTGACATAATCCCTCAGATAGATAAGATGTAGTGAATAGTAGTGGTGCGGGTGTAGGTGTGCTGTGTCCCCACTGTGTCTGAATTGACAGCCCTGGCAGGATGTAAGAAGACGTGCTCTGACACACCAGCCAGGTGGTGATTGACAGAATCATTAGGCCTCTCACCGCTCCATCACCACCTTATGTGGAGAGAGTCTGGCCCTAGCTGTAGAAGCTACAGAATTTACTTTCTCTTGTGACTGCAACCAAACTGAGTGGACTGAAAACAATATAAGGCTTTTCCGTCTATGCACTCCAGC